AAAAACCAAAAAAAGGGGCCAGGGGTGGGTGTGCAGAGAACATTTTTTAGAACCGACGGTATTTGGAGTGAATATAATAATTCTCCAAAATTATGCACTGATTTTTGGACTAAAAACACTCCCACACAAGCATGCTATGGCCCACAAAAGTCCCTCATCACATTTAGTCGCCAACTATATATTGTACGGCTGTGATGCAGGGCCCCACAAAGCTTGTGCTCGTGGCCCCACCGCCCATCAAAAATATCTCGCGGTCACGACTGGTTGGAAGGTGTAAAAAAAGAAAGAAATCCAACGGGATGACGAAGCTTTCGTCTGAGCAAAGTTAGAGCGTGAAACGTGGCATGCAATGATAAGTCCAAGTAGACCAAAGCAGTGAGTGTAAGCAAGGAAAGATGAATCCCGAGACAGAGTCACGTGACCCTACCCCACCTCTGGTGCTCTCTTTCCCTTTAGCACTTGCCATATCCAAGCTGGCAGTGAGCGGTTGATTCGCTGTGTGGGTTCCACCTTATGCAGTCAATCTACGGAGGCCACGTCATCTACGCGTTGACGGTGGATCGTGAAGGCGGGCCCCGCTCTAACATGGGGTCTTTTACATGCTCGCACGCACGTTGCATATGACATTTTGGACATTATGACTTCCCCCCGCCTGTCGCGCCGGGTACCGCCACGTCAGAGACTGTGATGTCGATTTACGTGAATGCCCGTGTATCAGGAATGCGAAGATGGAGAAGGGATGGGTAAATTTGTCTTTGGAAGGTTACGCGGTCTTTTCTACTAATCAACTCCATGGATACATGACAACTAACAATTAGCATAAAAAAACTGTTTTGTTGGCGCGTAATATGCACCTTCTGGAAGAAAAATGTTATACTTCTGAGTACGACTTGCCCCTGTTTAGAGACAGTGAATGACCAACTACACAGTGAATTAATTATTTTTTAATTAAACCGATTTCATGACATAATTAAAAAGAAATTATGTTATGTGCCCCACGAATCGGTTCGACCTTAATAAAAAAATACACGAGATGCTTACCAAATAACATAGGGTCTCGTTTTGTGTCTATCATAGTCGAATTCGATGTATTTAAAGTAATTCGTAAGGTTTGCTGATTGAGAAATCAATGAAGCCGGGAATGTATAAGAATTAGAACTAAGCGCGAGGAATTTGTTGCTAATCAAAGCTACAATGACTTGAGTTTATTATGATATTCGTGGCATTTAAAAATTGGCATTATGCACGGTTAGTAGAGGGTTGCAATGGCATGTGCACAGCGGCAGATGTGAACTTTCCCTCAGCATTTTTCTTACCGACACATTGTCGATTGCAGAGAGAGCAACTAATAGAGTGTGATTTGCTTTTATTTATTAAAATTGATTTGAATTTTATTTTATGATAATACAGCGACAGATACTCATGGTGCAATTTAATTTGATGTTCTCTAGATTAGTAATTTCGACACAGAGAGATAGAGATGTTACTTCCACTAATTGGTCCACCCAACGACGTCGTGCTGGGGATTAAATGGATACAAAATGCATAATTAATGGGGGCACTAATCTATCGCCATTTGCATGCACGTTGCCTTAAGTTATATAATGCATTTCGTCGGTGCTTCTATTATTTATAGCATAATATTTATATATACTTATATATTTGTGTAAAGAATGGTACGTACCATAAAAATCCCTAGTTTCCTTATCTTTGAAGGGAAGAAATAATTCTTTCTTGGTTGAGGGTGATCACCCTACTAAATAATTGTCCTTTGGACGTCCTTGCATTGATTTAACACTAATTAAGAAATCTTCCCACCCCCTCCTCCTCCCAAAAAGCATATCAGGAAGATTTCGTATATTCTCAAAACATGACTCTAGATATATTAATTTGTACCAAGTCCAAAAGGGTTTTTTTTTCTATTCTTTTAAAACTGGTTGATAAATTAATTATGACATCAATTTTATATGCAAATGAACCTAATATTTTGTTATGTCACTTACCCCACTAGTCTTCAATATGGTGGAAGAAGCCTAAACCTTGACTGGCTAAAAGTCCATATGGGTTTTTAACCAAATTCCCCTTTTTTCCTGAATATGGAAAAGTCTTTTAGAAGGAAGTGATACAAAGAGTGTAACCCAAGTTAATCATAAAAGAATAAAAGGGTCCTCTTTCTTCTTTTTTAAAAATTTTACTTATTTATTTTTTAAATTTTGGCAGAGTATTTTAGAAGGGATTGATGCAAAGAGTAGGGCTCAAGTTAGTTATAAAAATTTAAATAAATAAATAAAAAAGAGAAAGCAGAAGAAAGCCCATCATTGCCAAGAGGCCCAAATGAGACACGCTTCAGCTGTGAAGTCACTTTTATTAACCTTTCTCTCACTTTTTTATGAAATTATTTTTTTAATTAATTTCCACATTAATACATTGATTTGCTGGTACACTTTCCTAATTCGAGCACACTATAGGTTTATTTTTTTGTTCTTTGATTTTGACCAGAAAGCTCGAATGGCGTTAGGTAGTGGAGATTTGAGGGTATCATCCTAAAGTAATAGGATGTTAGAAATGACAGCTGGTGATTACCCACTTTGCATAAAGTCCATGTTGTAATTCCATTTAGGCATTTACCATTATCTCTCACCATTTTTGCGATTTTCAGTGTTAATTTATCGACATACAATACGATAAGTTACGAAAAATGTTAACATCAGTCGTTAAATATTTGTAGCATACGAATTCTATGGTAGCGGACAAGTAATTCATACCATTACCGCCATGATTGGTGAGAGTGGCCCCCAGTATTTCAACCCGCGTGGACCTACACTAAAGCTATGTGTCAAAAATTAAAAGCACTAAAACTAATCATTCACTCTTTGTTCTACCGAAAGAGGGACCCTAAATTACCGAGTTGCACCAAATTTTTTATTGCCTTGTAGTTGTACTTGTACGTATAGATATATAGTTTTTTGGGTACGGTGTCACCTTCATGCAGGAATTGCATCAATTTGGGTCTTGAAAGGTGATGCATTAAAATGCAACATTTTTCTAGTTTTGGGTAATAGTTGAGGATATGGTGGATATGAATCATATGATGAAATTTGGATGGTGTCAATCCCATTCACTTATAATCTGACAATAACAAGCAATTTAATGGGAAGAAAAGGGTAGATTTTGACACGAGGTGAACATATATGTGAGGTGTTTTGAAACCTCTAATGTGAATAATTCTAAGCAACTTCAATAATAAATTAGAGTTCGTTTATTGTAGTAACTCGTCGTGTAAACCATTAAGATTCAATTCATTATGTGAATATTTGTAATATCTTTTTGAACTCCTTAAAGTGAGCTTCATACCCACTTATGCAATAAGTTGGGTAATCTGAAAAAAAAAAAACCAAAAAAAGGGGCCAGGGGTGGGTGTGCAGAGAACATTTTTTAGAACCGACGGTATTTGGAGTGAATATAATAATTCTCCAAAATTATGCACTGATTTTTGGACTAAAAACACTCCCACACAAGCATGCTATGGCCCACAAAAGTCCCTCATCACATTTAGTCGCCAACTATATATTGTACGGCTGTGATGCAGGGCCCCACAAAGCTTGTGCTCGTGGCCCCACCGCCCATCAAAAATATCTCGCGGTCACGACTGGTTGGAAGGTGTAAAAAAAGAAAGAAATCCAACGGGATGACGAAGCTTTCGTCTGAGCAAAGTTAGAGCGTGAAACGTGGCATGCAATGATAAGTCCAAGTAGACCAAAGCAGTGAGTGTAAGCAAGGAAAGATGAATCCCGAGACAGAGTCACGTGACCCTACCCCACCTCTGGTGCTCTCTTTCCCTTTAGCACTTGCCATATATATCTTCATTACCTAAATCAACTCCCACGATTAGTAAACTCAATCGCTCTCTCGCAGCACATCTACTCTAACCTTATCGTACTTGTACAACCTTATCGTAACTTATTACTAAATCAGGACATATGTAATTACATAGCAATTATTGACAACCAAATCACATCCCCATTATTGTTAGTAAGACAAGTTTAACAAATGTGGCAATTTTAATTAGTTTACCAAGCATGAGAAAATAGCATCTCGACCTCGGTAAATATAAGGAAAGGAAAATCCAGGAATTTGTCCACATACAAAAATGTAATAAATAGTGTTCCCATTGAAATCTCTCACCTCTGAGAAGGTTCCTGGTAAAGCTTTGGTTGGAAATAAATAAAAAACAGCTGGTAATAATAAACCATTTATGGCATAGAAGGAAAACCAAAACCACATCCATAAATAAATAAATAAAAAAGGAATAAAAAACAAGAAAAAAAGAAAAAGGCAAGCATGTGTTGTGATGGATATACTGCCAAAAAAGACCGACTAATTTTAAAATTTAAATACGTTGCCATGTTGGGCGGGCAGTAATATTCAAACTTTTACGCGTAACGGGGAGGGTAGGGGAGGGGATAAGGATAACGGAGTAACGCGTTTAGGCGTGTAAGAAAGGGACAAGGAAGTCGCTGTTTTGAGGGAAAACGGAGGGCTGGAATTCCGTTAAAGAAACACTTTGTGGAGGAGGGGGTGGGTGAAAAATAAGAGCAGTAAAAGGTAAAAAGAAACGGCGGTTAAAGGCTGACAAAAGGCGCAGAGAGGCTTCTATAAGTAATCTCTTGTCTCAGTCGCTCAGAGAAACAGAGAGCGAGCAAGCGATAAGCAGAGAGCCCGAGAAGCTGAAAGCGAAAAAGTAAGACCAAAACCCCACCTCCATTTTTTTAATTTTTATTTAGTATTTTTTGGGCTTTTGATTTGCTTTGTTTTGCTCTGGTTTTTTTAATTTATATTTTCTTGCATTTTCGCGGTGAAAATTTTAAAAATGGAAAAGGGGAAAAAAAGTGTGAGAGAGCGGTGGGAGGGGAGAGGAGAGGGAGGTGTGGGGCCCGTGGGGAGGCTTGAAGATGACGATAGTAAAAGACAGCTAGCAATGAAGGAGGATGCTCACCTACCATTTTACACAACATCACTCTCTTTCTTCTTCCTTTTTAGCCCTTTCCTTCTCTCTCTCTCTCCTTTCAAAACTCAATTCACTTCTTCATTCAAAACCCATTCTCTCTCTCTTCTTTCTCCGTTCCTTATATTCAACCAGGAATAGGGTTTTGGCAGTTTAGGGCTTCGTTTGGATTTTGGCTGCAAATTTTGGTCTCTGCTGCTTTGGTTTCGTTTCCTCTGAGTTTTTGTTTAGGCGGGAGTGAATTTGAGTTCAAAACCAAAACTCAACAGGTTTGGCTCTGCATTTCTCCACTCTCTCTCTACAAATTTCACAGTTTCAGTAGCGTCGGCAATGGATGCGCTCCATTTTCCCTAGTTTCACACCCCTCTTTTGAATTCGCTGTTTGGTTTCTCAGAAAATGACGGAAAACACTCGTTGATATTTTACTCCTCCTCTCACTAATTTTCAAATTAAACAAATGAATTTTATTCGTTTTTCGTTCGCATTCACTTCAGAAATTGAACGCATTTTGAACTGGTTTCTGCTCTCTGCCTCCGCTTCCTCTCGTTCAATTTTCTCTCTCTTTTTATTTCCTTTTTTCAGCCAAAAATTCCTTATCTTGGTTTTCAAGAAAAGAAAAACAACAAAAAGCAAAATTCGGAGTTTGAGTTGGTACCAGCTGGCGCTACCCTACGCCATGTGTGGTGTAACTTTACTGAAAGCTCCAAATTCACCTTGATTTTCGCCTCTTTTTAATTTTCGTTATTTTTTTCTTCCAGAAATTGAAGTCATCAGTGTGAAATAAGTAAAGTGGCACCGGAAGAACCTTTGCGTTTAATTGCGTATCGCTGCTAAAATGCGCCACGCGCTTTATGCGCCACATTGCCTATAAAAATTATAACTTCAAATTCAAATTCTACGAAGTGATTTTGTCGCTGATTTTTGGCTTTTCGTTCTTATTTTTTTATCTCAGGACAATTTTTCAGAGACAATGATCGGAAACTTCATCGACGAGATAGACTGCGGGAGCTTCTTTGACACCATCGACGACCTCCTCGACTTCCCAAACGACGACGTCGAGTCCGGACTGGGCTCCGCCCCTGACTGTAACGCTGCGTTTAACAACAACTCCCTCTGGCCCAACCAGTCCGGCTCGCTCCCGGCTCCCAACGACGCCGTTTTCTCAGCCGGCAACTCCGCCTCCGACCTCTCCGCCGAGCTCTCCGTTCCGGTGAGTCACACTCCCTCCCTCTCGCTATCTCTCTCGGTGCTTCCGTGGCATTTAGCAGTGTCGGTTTCACGGGATTTGCGTGAAATGAATGTGACGATGACGTCATAAGTTGAAATTAGGACAGTTTTTATTTTTTATTTTGATTTTACATGATTTTCGTAAAATTAGAATTGACGTGCCAGGCTGGCAAGCCCGCGTAAAGGTGGGCATGGTCCTCTGGTGCCGCATGTGGTGGGTGGGTGGTGCTGAGAGGATAGTGTTGTTCGTGAATGATTGGATGTGGTAAAAACAGTTTTTAGGGTATTTTAGTCATTTGACCACGTAACGCCGTCGTTTAGTATGTCGGTGGGGTGGGGGGGGTTTCATCAACAGTTTGAATAGTTTCATTTCATAATTGCGCGGTGAAAAATTGAAATGGGCGTGACATGTGACATGTCATGTGATGAGTACACTCAAATTTCAAAGAGCGGGTTTTGCGGTCAATACTCTTCATGTACATGTGACATGTCATGTGATGAGTACACTCAAATTTCAAAGAGCGGGTTTTGCGGTCAATACTCTTCATGTACATATGACATGTCAAAGAGCTGTTGGGGTTTTTTTTCTCTTCTTCTTCTTGAACTGGAGGTCAACTACTATTATCTGTTAATCAAATTTGAATTTGGGTAGAGACAAAAATGTTTCATTTGAAATTCGAACTTGAATTGGGAACTTAATTGGCCTGAATTTCATTTCTTTGTTGTCACAGATTGAAGACATAGTTCAATTGGAATGGCTGTCGAACTTTGTTGAGGATTCCTTCTCTGGTGGAAGCCTCACCATCAACAAACCAGACTCCTTCATCAACAAGGACACATCCCACCACCAGTTCCAGACCTCCAGCCCAATTTCTGTGCTTGATAGCAGTAGCTCTTGCTCTGGTGACAAGAATGTGCCACAAAGTCCTGGACCGGTCGCTGCTCCCGGTAAGCGTGGACGTGCTCGCAGCAAGCGTCCACGCCCGGCCACCTTCAACCCTCGCCCCGCAATTCAACTCATTTCCCCTGCTTCCTCTGTTACTGAGGCAGAGGGCCCACAGGCTCAGCCATTCCTTGCCCCAAAGGTCCCTTCTGATTCTGAGAATTTTGCAGAGTCTCGTCCTGTGATCAAGATACCAAAACAAGCTTCTGGGGAGCTGAAGAAGAAGAAGAAGCTCAAGGTGTCGCTTCCCCTGGCTCCTTTGGAGGGGAATCAAAATTCCGGTCCTACACAGGCAGCAGTGAGAAAATGCTTGCATTGTGAGATTACTAAGACACCCCAGTGGAGGGCAGGCCCAATGGGACCAAAAACCCTATGCAATGCCTGTGGCGTCCGCTACAAGTCAGGCCGGCTCTTTCCTGAGTACCGGCCTGCTGCCAGTCCTACTTTTGTTCCATCCTTGCACTCCAATTCCCATAAGAAGGTTCTTGAGATGAGAACCAAGGGTGGCGAGTTGGTTGTTTTTGGAGAGACTGCAACAGCTATGAGCGAAACTCCCGAACTCATTCCGAATACTAACAGCAGCATCTCCATGGATTACATGTGATGCGAGGGAGGATGTAGAGGATAATATTCCTAGTTGGAAACATAGTTTCCTTCTCTCTTCCTCTGTTATGTTATTTGTCTTAGTGTCATTTCATTTCTTTGTTCATTGGTTTTTTGTACAGGGATGGAATGGGGGGGGGAAATAGGAGCAAATTAGATGACCATATATTTAGCTAGTAGAGGAGAGACCTGAAAAAAAAAAAGGGGGGGTAGAGAGATGCAAGTTTAATGGTAGACTTTAGATGTAGTGATGATGATGGCTAGTAGTTCTTTTAAGGTTTTTAGAAGTTGAGTCTGTGTTGTCTCCTTCAGCATTCATTTTCCTTTTATCTTCCCTTGCAAGGGAATTCTTTTTGCAGTTCATTTGTAGTAGCAAAATTCTGAAATGAGTACTGGAATTTGAGATTTCTTATGGTTTCTTTCTTTCATTATTATTTTCGGGTTTTCGGGTTTTGCCCTTTTGTTGCCTACTGAACCAACCAAAATGACCCCAGAAGTTTTGCTTGAAGAAGCAGGAAAGCATAATCAAATGATGACAGTTTGTTGCTGCAACAATCAGTTTTGTATACAAATATTACCAGTTGCTGGTGCTTTTAGGTCATCAATTTTGTGCACATTTCAAGTTTGCAAGAGGGTCATCAATCAACCCTCAACAATTTGATGAGAAGTCGAGAACAAAATATGTCAAATCTGCAAGACTTCCTTGCAATTATTTAAGAAAAGGCACATGGTTCTGTTTGGATGCTGACACAATAACGCAAATGGGCCTACTAGCTAGGGCTCTGTTTGGCATATGATAGATTTGAACCTACAATCCCTTAAACCCTATTACATTTTTTCCACTTGTTCTGAAAGGTCAAGCTCATGAAATGAAGTATGACATATGGTCATGGGTCAATTTCCTAATATTCATACATATTATTTCTTCCATCCTTATTATGTAAGTATGAGTTCCTACGTTTTTTATCCCAAAAAAAAAAAAAAAAAAGACGTTCCTACGTTCTTGCTAATAGCAGTGTGACATGTGAGCAGAAGTTTTTCTTTTTGTGTTTTTGATAAATTATTTTTGCATCTATGTCAAATTGTGATCCGCCAGAAAGAAGGAGTATCTCCTTTGATTAATCTTTGAAATTAATTAAGTTTGAAATAGTAAGAGGTTGGAAGATTCACAATCCACATATATATTTTTATTGGTGCATGGATCTGATTCTGATTTGCTCAGTTGGGCAATTGCGTAATGTTTTTCTTTAACTGATTAACTACGTTTTTTTAAGGTGGCATGCTTTGCCAATTTTGCCTTTATGGTGTGGTGCTAAGAATGCGCTAACAAATAATGCTTTATGTTCTTCGCAACACCGTTGCTTAAAGGCTAATGAACCCCTCATGATCAAAACAAGAAGAAGGGCTCTTTTTATTTAATTTTATTTTGAATATAAAAAGAGAAATGATTCAAATGAAGATGTTGATCGAACAAAGCCAGTGAAAAGTCATATTATATATATAGAGAGAGAGAGAGAGAGAGAGAGAGAGAGAAGGTCGTCTTTTAATTATGGTTAAGAGTTTCACATGCCACATCTGACGAAACAAACTCATTAAGATGGCATTGAAATCAAAGTTAGGAGGACATTACTTTAGTAATTAAGTATTATTATCATTAGTTACTGCCCAAAGTCATTGCTACACAGTTAGGGTTGGCAGGTTAAAGTTGAACTTGAAAGTTGAAGTGACCCAACTTGGGTCGGAATTAAGTACATCATTGACAATGCGAAAGATACGAGAAATTTGACTTATCAATTCACTTATGTTATAACACATGTATATCTGTTAACATCAAATTTTAAAATATAAACTCGTTGCTCACTGTGTGTTATGATTTGAGTGAATTAGTAATATCATGTGAAGAGATATTGAGTTACACGTAAAAATTTACCCAAATTATACCCTTTGGACTGGGTTTGGAGGTTAGAAATGGTGATTAATGTCGCTAAGGTCGTATGTCAAGGACTTTGGCAAGACGTCTCAATCTAACCAAACGCAAACCAAATGAAAGAAAAAGATCAACTTTATTACCAACAACGATAGTATTGATTATGCGCATAAACCAAACAGAATTACCATCAATCATTTCAGATAATTACTTCCATTTTCTTAAGCTGACTGGACTGCTAATCATATGATATGATATCATCTCAAATGCATGTTTTAAGTAACGCTTCATTGGGAAGGTTTGATATGACATTGCAATGACATTAAATAAATAAATAAAAAACCAATCAAAAAGAAAAAGAAACAATTTGTGTGAGACATGAGAATGAAAAGTCTGGGCAACCTAATAAGTTTGGTTTAAATAATGTTGGGTAGTTAAACCTAATTGCAAAACAATGCTGCTGGTTTTTCAGATTTCAATGATGACTATGTTTTGCAGAAATTAGGGCCACGTTTGGGGGACATGATTTAATTGGGGTTGGCCCCAAAATTGACTATGATGACCCAAAGGCTGAACCAAACTCCTCACTGTTGAGTTTATAGCTTATAGGATAGGCCCAATGCTTATAGGATGAGCTTATAGCTTAAGTTCATATGATTTGTACTGGGAAAAAAAAATAGTCAGAACCTTACTTTGATTGTTACATGTGATGTGACATTTTTTTTCATTTTTGGGGTCAATTTTAGACTTTCTAGTCATGGTAAAAAGTAAAGGTGTGTGACAATAACAAACAAATCTTTTCAAATTGCTACATAAATCAACAAACTTTAATTTTAAGAGTTTCATTTGCTATTACTATTGTGGCGTGTTTACTAATCCGTAATTGGAATCAAATAAGGAGTTGAATTCCTTCATTTTACGTATACTCATATGTTTACTTTACATGGAGGAATTAAAATGGGCGTGGGACCCACATAAAATTAGGAATTCAACCCATGGTTTTGGAGGAATTGGAGTGGTATTCTAATTTCTAGAAAATTAATCCATTATGAATTCATCCTTTTTACTCATTATATCCTCACACGATTTTTAAAATTCTAAATTTACCATATACTTTAACCCAACAAGGAGGACATTTTAGTAATCAATTTAGTTTCAATTCCAATTTATGGGAATTTAGTAAACAACTTATAAGGAATTAGTACCACTCTTATTCCAATTCCATATGGTTTAGTAAACAACTTCAATAGGAATCCGAATTCTAACTCTCCTCAATTCAATTCATCCTCAAGTCAATTCCCTCCTAATCTAATCTGATTATGAATTAGTAAACATACCATTGAAAATGTTCTTAATTTAATCTTTATTGTATGGTATGTTCAAATTTATGTATATTATTTATTGGACCATGATGTGGTAGCTCACAATGATTTGCAAATTAATACAGTGGTGCGTAAAGATATTCAAATTATGAAAGACAAAGTATAAATATATATATATATATCAACATTAGGGTTTCAACTCGAGTGCTCGCACCACCACCTTCCACGAATTGGTTCTTGTTGTTTCTGCTGGCTACGTGCTGGTTTTGGCCTTCAGTTTCTTTTGATGTATGGCTGTTGTTCCCTTGGATGCGATTTTGGGTACAATGGGTGCGAAGTGCGTCGCAGTGGAGTTCGTTTTTGGGGTTTTTTTGGTTTTATGCTTTTCCAATTTTAAGGCTTTGTTCTAGTGGATTTAGGGTTGAGGGTTGTTGTTTGTTGTGTTGGAGTGGAAGTTTGTTGTTTTGTTTTGGCCCTGGTGTGTAGCTGTCTGCTTGCTGCTTCTCCTGTTGCAGGGATGTTCATGGCAGCTGCCTTCTGTTATTTTGTTTTAGTTGCTAGGGTTTTGTTTGTTTTGGGCCTTTTGACCTTTGCTATGTTGGGCTTCATTTGTAACCCTTACTTACGAATGAAAGTCCACTTTGACCACACAAAAAAAAGCTTAAAAAGATGCAAGTTTAAGAAAAATTTGTTGTCCATTATTACAATTTACAGGTCAGAGAGAGTGATGAAAAAGTTAGGATTATATATGGCGGGAGTTACCCTCAGTTCCTCTATGCTATCTAAGCCCCAAGTCGGCATCTGCACATGTAGACACGCATTGGTTAGGTTAATGGAGATGATAACAACTTATTTTTCATGTTTCTATGTATACTTTCTTTTGACTCCTAGAAAGAGGATTTCTTTTGGACTCCTCATCCCGTTGCCTTAGACCATCTCCAACCATTGGGTGGAAACCTAAATTTTCAGTTTTGAGCCCAAAATTCTTCTCCAACCCATGTATTTTAGGGGGTGGAAATTTGAGAAAGGTAAAATTTGGGGTGGAATTCCAGTCCAAGTTTTTTCATGGACTGGTAATTTGTGTGGAGCCCAAAGCTCTATTTTGCAGCCCATGTGAAAAGGAAAAAGAGGTGGGCCCTGCATGACAGCGAAGCTGTCTGGCCAGCAGCTCTTTTGCACGACACATGGCAGCTTCAGGAGAGAAAGACATTGGAATCCAACGGCTGAAAAAAGCTGGGTGATTTTTTATTTATTGCAAAAGATGGGTTCTACTTGTTTTTATTTTTAAGTGAAATTCTATTATGCTTTGGAATTTTATTTTTTTAAGGTTAAAATGTTCACAAACTTAAATCACAAAGGTTGAAACAAAAATAATGTCAAGAAAAATTAACGACAAACAAAAAAATTATGTGTTAATCATTCTTAAACAATTTAATAAAGTTGTGGACTCAAATTGTGAGTCTGCAAGGTTGGAGGAATAAAAATTTTGAGTCTTGAAAATACATGAATAGTTGTATTTTGGAGGGTGGAAATTTGAGTTTAGAGAAAAAGCAGAGTTTCTGAAATTTTCTTCACTTAATTTTAAGGGATCTTTGGCCCTAGTGGATTTTTCTTCATCAAAAGATAAATATATGAAGACATGGGGATTGAAAAATAATTATGATAACAAACAATGGGTGCTAAATTACAAAATAGATATAGAACAATATCTTCTTCCTCTTCCTCTTGGGAGGCTTAGACGTTCTAAGTGTGGCGAATGGGAGCATGGCATATTTTTCAACCATGAGACTTATTACAATAACGGTATATTATTTGTGGATCTAACGCGTATTTCCATGAAGAGTATACTACTCAAAGGTCCACTGTATTCTATGGAAGTTTTTAGTTGTACATACATAATGATTTCTTTAAAGAATTGTGGAGATTTAGTTGAACCACAAGATCAAGAACAAGAAGGTATTACTGAATGCCCCATGTCTTAAGAAACTGATGAGAATATGACTAAGGCTGAAGAATCAAATGGGAGAGATTTTGTTTACTTAAGAACATAGACGGAGCCAATATGTGTTTCTGTCTCGGAAACCATGTTAACCACGTAATACACAGATTTCTTAGCCAAAAGGGAGGAGAGTAAATGAGGAAACCATATTAGTCTCAG